CGCTGGGAGTTGGAGACTGGAGTTGTTCCTATTCGGCCATCTTGCTCCGCCCCCCAATACTTGAACTTTTCATTGATAATCTGATTTTTTCTAAGGTATTATTTTGGAAAATCATGATATCCTTATGTGCCTAACTAATTATAAAAGTTGAGAAAACTAAATGTGAGTATTCTATTTACATCAGTCTTTGAGTAGTTCTGATTTACTAACATCCCTTGATCTCGTTCCTATCCTTTAACAGTTCTAACATTATATAACTTTTGAATTCCACTCTGGAATAAGATATTTTCTTTACTGTAACAGGTTCTGTGGAGATTTGATGGGAAAAAACCGGATACCTTAGGCCTCAATACTCGGCTTTATAAGTGGATACCCCAGAATGACCTTCTAGGTAAGACTCCAGTGAACAAATACTGGATATATTAGTAACAGCACATTAGAGTGTTAATAGTTAATCATGAAACAAGCTTTTTGAATATTTGTTTAGGAAAAGCAAAATGTAACTTCTTTATATTTATTTACCAGTCCTAGGGGAAAAAGAGTACGCTATAATTATTGGTATTTTATGATATACGCTCACATTCTTTATGGTCAGAATCAACAAGAATCTTTATTTCAGGTGTTAGTACATCACATAGAACTTTTCAATAACTTCCTGAGCTGTCTCTCTGTCTCCTATTTCTACAACTTTACACCTGTTGTTTCCTCTCCTGCAGGGTTATTTCAAATGCCACCAAAATATTAGCTTTTCTATCACCAGTGATTCTGTATTTTCTGAAGGATTAAATTGCTAATCTAATTCATAAAGTGATGACATCATGATGAAGTGTGACCTGTCCTTCCTCAATCCTAGCACCACCACCAACCCACTGCCTGCTGCCTTGCACACCCCACCTATCACACTCTGTGACTGCACTTAAAACAGCGGTTCACATCATGCCCATCTCTTGCTGTCTTCTTTATTACACACTTAAAAAATCTAGATCGCACTTTTTCATTAGTCCAATTGGAACTCTTGTATTTTTTGCAGTCTGAAGTCACACACACCATGCAGCCTTCACTTGCATACCAGCAAAAGTACGTGTTTTTTCCTCTGAAGTCTGAAAAGCAATAGCAAATTAGTTCAATGTGTTATCTAGAAAACACTGTCACTTTCAGAGCCTTTCATTGTGCATCTCATTTTATTCCTATGAATAATTTTTCTAAAATTCATGCAATCCTAGGTCATCCAAAAACCAGAGCTTTTATAACTCACGGTGGAGCCAATGGCATCTACGAGGCGATCTACCATGGGGTCCCTATGGTGGGCATTCCATTGTTTGCCGATCAACCTGATAACATTGCTCACATGAAGACCAAAGGAGCAGCTGTTAGATTGGACTTCGACACAATGTCGAGTACAGACTTGGCGAATGCACTGAAGACAGTAATTAATGATCCTTTGTGAGTAGAACAATATTTTTCACTAGGTGGTATTTATAGATAGCTTCTCTTGTCAAGAGTGAGTGTGAGTTTCATCCTTTTTATAAGAGTGTAATTCTGAAAGAATTTAAATGATTTAACCAAACTGAAATCTGATTTTATTTTTTATCTGTTATTTAAAAATTGTATTTGAAACCCATATGTCTAATGAATAGCCAGTTAGTGAAACAATTTTCTACACAAAAATACTTTTAAAATGATATAGAGAATATAAAAAATACATTTCTTTTTTTTTTATTACTATTATTATAATGTAAGTTCTAGGGTACATGTGTATAACATGCAGGTTTGTTACATATGTATACTTGTGCCATGTTGGTGTGCTCCACCCATCAACTCGTCAGCACCCATCAACTCATCATTTATATCAGGTAGAACTCCAAATGCAATCCCTCCCCCGGCCCCCCTCCCCATGATAAGCCCCAGTGTGTGATGTTCCCCTTCCCGAGTCCAAGTGATCTCATTGTTCAGTTCCCACCTATGAGTGAGAACCTGCGGTGTTTGCTTCTCTGTTCTTGTGATAGTTTGCTAAGAATGATGGTTTCCAGCTGCATCCATGTGCCTACAAAGGACACAAACTCATCCTTTTGTATGGCTGCATAGTATTCCATGGTGTATATGTGCCACATTTTCTTAATCCAATCTGTCACTGATGGACATTTGGGTTGATTCCAAGTCTTTGCTATTGTGAATAGTGCCGCAATAAACATACGTGTGCATGTGTCTTTATGGCAGCATGATTTAGAATCCTTTGGGTATATACCCAGTAATGGGATGGCTGGGTCATATTGTACATCTAGTTCTAGAACATTGAGAAATCGCCATACTGTTTTCCATAATGGTTGAACTAGTTTACAATCCCACCAACAGTGTAAAAGTATTCCTATTTTCCACATCCTCTCCAGCACCCGTTGTTTCCTGACTTTTTAATGATTGCCATTCTAACTGGTGTGAGATGGTATCTCATTGTGGTTTTGATTTGCATTTCTCTGATGGCCAGTGATGATGAGCATTTTTTCATGTGTCTGTTGGCTGTATGAATGTCTTCTTTTGAGAAATGTCTGTTCATATCCTTTGCCCACTTTTGGATGGGGTTGTTTGTTTTTTTCTTGTAAATTTGTTTGAGTTCTTTGTAGGTTCTGGATATTAGCCCTTTGTCTGATGAGTAGATTGCAAAAATTTTCTCCCATTCTGTAGGTTGCCTGTTCACGCTGATGGTAGTTTCTTTTCCTGTGCAGAAATTCTTTAGTTTAATTAGATCCCATTTGTCAATTTTGGCTTTTGCTGTCGTTGCTTTTGGTGTTTTAGACATGAAATCCTTGCCCATGCCTATGTTCTGAATGGTACTACCTAGGTTTTCTTCTAG